AGCATTTAGAAAGGCATGTGAACTCCACTGCAGGGAATTGTGCTGGGGCTTTTTCATAGGACAGCTGAAAAAACTACACTAGATGACAAGTTCTGAAAGCGGTGCTTTATCTTTATGACATATTATGCGAATGTGACATCTGACCACTTTCCCTGGTGCTTGCTCTCATTGTGAATGATGCTTTTGCCAAACAGGTATGACATCCATTTCAATCACTTGTGTGAGCTGTTCAACTGCATTTGTGAAATTGTATGCCTAGTTGAACTTTTCTTGCTTTGCTTTTTATGAGAAAATACCCTATGGCTTTGGTGGGATGAAACAACATGAAATGGTGGGTACCATTTCTCTACTAAGGATAAGAAGGTTGATCGGATGTAAAGCTATAATGTACCTTGTTGTCAAGTAGAAAGTGGGAGGTATGGATATGGGAGGTATGAAGCAAGATATAAAACTGATATAAAATTTAAAAGCAAAAATAGAGAGGAAAGTGCCTTTTTCACTTTTTTGGGAAATTAGATAGTGTTATACACTAAAATATTAATTTTCATAAGTGTATTCTAATAGGACTGTCAGAATGTATGTCATGCATCTACACAGCAATTTTAAAGCTTTAATTCTTTAGTAAATGTGTTATGTTTGCGTTAAATATTCTGAAAACATTGTAATTATTTTAAAACATTTACATTTAGTGCTTTGGGTTATTTGAAGTTTAAAGAGGAATTATGTACCATGCAAATGGTTGAATGTGAGAAAATGGAAAGTCTAATGGATTACTGGATTTTGGGAATATGTGAACGAATTTGTACTGTATGATTTTAATGTAGAGCAATGAAAATAAATTTAGAAATGATGTTTGTTTTTTATTATTCTATTTTCTTTGTTGTTCGTAGCTCTCAAGCAGGGGCGTAGCCATCATTTCAGAAGTGAGGGGGACAGAAATGTTATATATAGAAGAAAAAAAATAAAAAATATATATATATACAGGTGCATCTCAATAAATTAGAATGTCATGGAAAAGTTCATTTATTTCAGTAATTCAACTCAAATTGTGAAACTCGTGTATTAAATAAATTCAATGCACACAGA